ATGTATATGTGTGTATATATTATATATATATATATATATATATATATATATATATATATATATATATAGAGAGAGAGAGAGAGAGAGAGAGAGAGAGAGAGAGAGAGAGAGAGAGAGAGAGAGAGAGAGAGAGAGAGAGAGAGAGAGAGAGAGTGTGTGTGTGTATACATAAAGAAAGAGACAGACAGACAAGCGAACAAACAGACAGAGACAGATAGATAGGCAGATGTAAACAGACAGAGACATGCAGATAGAAACAGAGACAGACAGACTGACAAGGTGGAAGATATGCATATGTGTGTCTAAACTGCGTAAACATAGAGTCTTGCGGCACCATGAGCCCATCTCCGAAGGCAAAATCTTTCGCACCATTAAGAGTACCGCTCGGGTAATGGGAATGCAAACCCCTCATGATGACAGGCCACCCGGTCGAGGCGTGAGGAAGAAGCGTCTTGATAGCAACCCTTCGATCACTTTCTCGCGCCTGTTCCGGTGGGTGAAGCCTCTCGGTGGGTGCTTCCGCCGAGATGCGCCGTCAGTTCCTCCTTGCGTTGCACCCCAGCCTCACCTGCCTGTCTGTGCGGAGGCAACCACAGGCTCACTTACGTGCCCAACTAACACGGACGGCCGCTGCTCTTTGTCTCGGAGGCTTTCTTCTCCTTTGTGGTTTACATATTTTAATTTCTGATTCGTAATTCTAATCATGTGACCATTGAAGAGGCCCAGTGTGTCGTCATTTGAAAGCGTCCCCTTAAAATACCTTTTATACGGAAGACCCGCGTACCTGACGTAAAGGATAGACACCTGGCACGCTGAACCAGGGTTGTGGGGTTTAGTCTTCGTTGTTATCGTCGTGACAATATGGCCGAGGTTGCCTTGGCCGGGACGTACTAAACAGAGATGAGGATTTCACATGAAGAAGTGTAACGTGCGAGTGAGAAGAGGTGGAGGTTATATCGTGCGATATACGAAGCTGTGATCACGTTTTTATAAGATTGTGAAAAAAGAGAAAAGAATATACACAAATAGAAAATAATATTGAGAAAGGAAGATGAGGCATAATTTATTATGTCTGTTCTTATACAAGTATATGGAACACTACTGATAACATAAAAATCAAACAGCTCTCCCAGAGGAGAAAAATAAGAGTAAAGAATAGGACTATTATGATGTTTGACGAGCGCCACGAGGTCAGCGAGCAACGCCCCGGGCGGTCATTCCTCGCGTAACGGTAAGGCAAGCTTCGCGCTTCCTTCCCGTGAAAGGCGTCAGCAGCGGCGGCGCGGGAGGTCAAGACTGATGATACGCAATTGCTAGTTATGACTAGTCGTGTGTTCTGCTGAAGTAAATGTCTTTTGGTGTGATTTATTGTTTACTGAGTACGAAGAATGTGATGGACAATTCTTTAATTTTTGCAAAATCTGAACATAACATGTATGCAACAGTGGTCCATCAAGCTGTAATTTTGGCCGTCGTCGTGAGCGCGGGCGTGGTGGGCGGGGCCCCTACTGGCGTTACGCCTACCGCCGAAACTCCACCCACCGCGCCCGCTTCCCGAGGCTCCAGCAGCGGTTCATATGATCTGCTGGAGGCTCCCGGCGCAGAGCGTGGAGTGGGCCTTGACCGTGAAAACTTGTGTACAAGCAGTGACTGCGCCGACGCCGCCAAGAGCAGTAATCTCGCCGGACAGCAGCAGCGACTTCAGCGGCGCCGCCAGGTGAGTCCCTTGTATCCAGCAGAAAGAAAGAACGATGAATCAGGAGAAGTCCCGTCACGGTCTAGGGCTGCGAGGGACGCTGACACGCGAGTGACAGATTGGTTATTGGGGCAAAGTACGAGTCAGGCCTCCAGTGATGGCGCGGGGGCTGGCTTATCGACGTGGAGCTGGTTGAACGGCGCCAGAGAAGCCACAATTGCGCCGACGGAGGAATCCAAGAAGGACGCAAGAGATGGCTTTCTGCAGCATAGCGCGGCATCCTCTTTGCTTCACAGTGGAAATAATGCTTCTGGCGCGGCGCTGACTGGAGGCATGACTGGTTCCTGGTCTTTGCCAATTCGTTTTAGTCAAAGCGGGACGAAAAAAATCAGTGATCCCCTGACCTCCTCCCCGTCGCTTCCCCCGGTGCTAGACAGGACGACGAGAGAAACAGAGCCTCACGCAGGTCACCAGTCGTTGACAACACAAACCGTTAGCAACGCCCTCATCGCTGTGACTGACGAACCAGACAGGGTCCCGTCGCACCCCGAGGAGCGCCCTCCTGGCCCGCAATCACCTCATGACACGGACCCGCTTGTTGCCACTCCTCTGAACACACATACAAACACACCACTCACCACTTCGCCTCGAACGAACACACCTCGATTCACCAATTATCCACGCACACGGAGACCACATTCTACTACCTCCAAGCACACATATACACCATTTCCACTCACAACACAGCAAGCAAATCCTCCTATAACCCAACCTACCAGCACGCCACAACAACACTCATTTCACAAGAGCCGTGAACCACCTGTAAACCAAAACCAAGGCACGGTCCTGCAGGAAACTAGCACGCCGCATTACCCATCAACGATAGAATGGCTGACTTTCTTACTCTCTGATCAATATGTCAGTTCAGATCACGCATCGACTACAGAATCAGTTACAGGTGACCCGGGAAAACATGTGAATATCAACCAAGATGCAACAGAAGAGGCAAAAGAAGTTCCAATTTTGGTTTTAGAATCTAGCCATACCTTGACTCCTTTGATGGCTCCAGGTCACGACGCATCACCAGTCGGGAATCATGGCAACTTCACAGGTCAGAAACTTCAAGGACGACCAGATGTGCCTGTCAGAGAACAACCATTCTTTGTAACGTCGTCCAGCGCTCGCCCTTCACTAATTTCTCAGAAACAAACCTTCATTGATTCAAACACACCGTTTAAGAATTTAGAAAAAGATGTCCTCGTTTCAGAACAAACGCTTGTACTATCCACAAGTCAGTCTATAATCACCGAAGGGCCATCGCGACTAACCCCACAGCCATTTACATATCCCATACAGTTAACTACTTTTACTGAACCAGCATCTCGAGGCACTACTCCGCCATATCAAGACCCCGAGCAACCACAACGAATGACTCAGACAATAGCTTTAGTAACTGATCAGCCAGTACTAACCACTGAACCTTCAGCAACCACAGGTCAAGCATTTAGTACATCTGAACATTCGCATAACCATCCTGAAAACCCTTTTATAATCACTGTTAAACCAAAAGTATCAGAACAAACGCCTAGAAACAATGAACATCCTCACAGATATTCCGACTTGTTCCTGAATAATTCTGGCCACCAATCTGTGTTAACTACCCAGTCATCTACATTTAATGATCAAGCGCCTAGAAGGCCTGAATCCCCACCCAAGGATACCAAAGAACCTTTAACAAACATAAAACAACTATTCACATCAGCTAATCTATCTGAAAGTACTGAAAAGTTACATGACAATACACATGATACCTTTATATATTCTGAATCAACACCTGATTCTGACCTTACAATGAACAACCATGAAAGAGTTAATGTAACCGAACAGCCACCCACAAGCCCTAAACATATACAAACAGATCCCGTAAACCATTTTACTGGAGTCGACAATATAAACACTCCCAGATATAGATTTTCGACTGAAAATAACCAGAAATATGGAGGACAGTCATTTGTAGCTGCTGGGGAATCCTCCTTTAGTAAATTTCATTATATGCATAATCCTCCTGACCAACTACATGCTGATCCAGAATATGAAGGACCTTCTTCAGATCTTACCCAAATACGTGAAATTCTTGGGCAGTTACTTGTTCCTGAGCAACCTATTGTAGGATTAGAGAAATATCCTCTTGGAGGGACTACAGCAGTTCCAGAGCAGTCATCGACAGATTATGACCGACTGGTCCCGTTTACCACAAATATTCTTGAGCAAACAACGACAAGCACTGAGGCCTTGAAGACAGGATACCAGACAACAGAAGACTCGCCTTGGACTGCACTTCTGCCCACGAGCAGCTTACCTAAAAAGGATCTTCTGTCAGAAATACTCAGTCAGACTTTAACATTTCTATCCAACACGAACCCTTTACCAAACACAAATAACACTGGAGAAAGACTGCCTGACCCTTTTCCGAACGGGACCAATACAGAAAAGGTTCCCACTCAACCAGAAATTAGTCCAGTACCCCAAAACACCTCAACTATTCTGGCTTTAAAGAACCATTATACACCTGATCATAACAGTGGTGAAACGCAAGGGGCACCAGTGCAAAGTGCGCCACTTGAACCAATCAGCCTTTTGCCAGCCTTAACCACCACCGCCCCTATGAAAAGTATTACTGCTTCAGAACAAAGTATATCATGTGAAGATGTTGGTAATCTTTCCCCTCTTTTGGATTTTTATGGTTCAGTTTATCCTGGATTGACAAATCCTTGTAAATCATTAAGATCAGATAAAGAGAGTGGAGGCATTGTTGAAAATCCTGATCTAAACTCTACACAGGAGCAAAAGGAGAAGTCAGTGAGTAGTGAAAAGACAGGCCCTGTCACTGCTGATCTTTCTCCCGTTATCATATCGGATACACCAATAGGATACTCGACATATAGGATACCAAATCCTGACATTGTATCAAATACCTATTCAGTTGGAAGTTCTCAGGTGTCTCCCAGCCACATCTCCATCAATCAGCCCAATGTCCTCATACACAGTAATAATTCATCACAGAGTACCGATGACCTCACTCAGCCACCCACTGACATGATACCTTCACCGACAAATGCCACACCACCCAACGTAAATTTATCCACGAGCATTCCATACTCAGTTGATTTCCCAAAAAGGAACGTCTCATGGCACATAGGCCCCCAACCCCACAATACGGCTGACTATGAGCCCCTACTTACTCCTTCCCCAACCCCTATTTATGAGGATGTACATAATGCCTCGTACATCAGCGAGAACGTCTTTTCAACTTCTCACACTCTGCCGTCATATACGTTCGACGAGCTCTCTCAGCCAGAAGCTTTCCTTACCGTTGAGGATTTTGACGATAGACCAACGGCAACCTTGGTGGCTGGTGATGGAAGCTCAGTCGTCGTCAGCTCCATGAGTCTGAACATTGGACATGCCTTGCCAAAGCCTTACAAGGAGGAAGAGGACACAAAGTGGGTAAAGATTTCAATAGAACCGTCATCAGACTTGGCTCCTACACTTCCAGCAAGCACAAGCAAAAAAATTCCATCCATAAGCACAATGCCACCAACGTCTACAGAGAAGGAAGGCAACTCTTCCCTTCCAATAACCTCCATCTGGGGATCTTGGTATAAGCGATGGATGTCATCTCGGTCAAAAGTCACGTCTGAAGGTCCTGCTTCAGACACCGGGGTTCCTGCGACAGGGACAGAAAGCCAGATTGTTGTCTCATCGTCTACAATAATACCTTCCCCTGCAACTACTACAACCACTCCAGCATTAGCAAACCACACGACATCCTTATTGTTGGATAATCTTGAAACACATCCTTCTACAAAACATCCTGCAGAATCATATCTTTTATTAGAGAGCCAAACAACGACCTCATCATCAGAAATACCCTCGGTGACCTCTCAGGCAACTCCTACTCCTGTGGTATCCCCTACTACACCACCAACAAGTACATTCCATGCAACCTCTCAAACAACGCCACTTTCAACAAAACCAACAGCTTCACCAGCGATGAGTTTTACGTCACCATTCCCTTTATCAACGAATAAGTCAATGGCGAGGAATCTTACCATATCATCGCTTCAAACAGAGTCTTCATTAAATAAATCCGGACCAGCTGATTTGACAGTGGGAATGGATTCAGTTACACCTCTTACAACACATGTGTCAACGTCAAATCTTACAAAGGACTCAGGTATTAACTCACTTGTGCTAAAAGATGAACCTTCATATAGCCAGCCCATAACAGAGCGTCATACAACACCACTTTCTGCGGAATATGAAACTGAATCACCCATAAATGAATCTACCGAGATGACAGTATCGATGCATGAACCGGTACCGCATTCGAGCAGCCAAAATTCAACAATTAAAGAAATAGCCTCAACGTCCCTCGCTACAACTTCGTCGCCACTGACTCGCGTCCTAGGTTCTCTCTGGGACTTGTTTCGGCCTCAGAAACAAAAATTAAAAGTACAGACTGACCCTTTGGCCTCAGACGATCACAAAAACAAGAGTCATTCCGGAAGTAATGTTATAGGCAACACTGAGCAATTAGTTACAACAGAGATACCTTTATACACAATACATAACCTTACATCTCCTGTTCCATCTGCAGTAACTAAGAGTATTCCATCGAACATAACAGCTATAACTCAGAATGCAGGTAATTCGACTGTACTGATGTCGGATACAAATCATGAAGAGAGACACCGCTTCCTACAAATGCTAAGTACACGTAAAGAACCCCAGGTTATATCCAACAATCCCGCAGAGGGCAATGTAGAACGCCTGACACCCTCTCCGACGAAATCTCCCCTTGCAGCGTATCTTCCTTCATCAATTGAATCCTTAGACAACCTGTTTACGCTCCTCGGTAAATTCGGGAACAAGCATAGCATATTTGGAGGTCACGAGAAAAGAAGAAATGAGGAAGGCGAGGAAACTGTCCCGGGAAACCGATGGCCAGTCGTCTTGAGACAGCGGCCTTTACAACCTCCTCATTTCCCTCAACTCGTAGCGCCACCAGTTACCGTGACTTACCGCCCGCCATCCGCTCACCACAGGCCTGCCACAGGGATATCCACACAAAGACCCGCCATCATCCTGAAGAAACAAGGATCGAGGGTACATATCCCCCTAATACCCTCAGCGGATTTCAGCTCGTTTCAGCCCCACAGTTCCATTCGCTCTAAGATTACGAGCAATTTATTCCACCCTCCCTGGACAACGCCAGGCATCACGGTGAACCCCGCCATTCCTCCCGCCACGGGCACTTCCCCTGAACATCATTCGCTCCAGAGTGGGCGAGATCGAGTCCGACCGGGCGAATGACGTCAGAAACGCCGAAGCTGAGGTCGATGAAAGTCAACGTCAGCGCCCTCCCTTGCCCGTTGAGCCCAAGACGTCGGAGACTCATCAGCGGAGGAGGTGCGGGAGTCGCCTGCTGGACCGCCTCGACTACCTGCTCGGAAGGGAGCTCGTCATGGACCAGTTCGGAGTGAGAGTGTATAGCTCCGTCGTCGAAAGGTGGGCTTTGACCTTCAGACAAACGCACACTAAAACTCCGACTAATCAGTCACTATTGCTGCACAATCTGACAAAATCCTGCACATGAGACGTTCAGAGACAGCATAATGACTTCAAGACGGACAGCTTCTGAATAAAGTACGTGACATCCTGACTGTACTGATGAAAGTTTGTAAAAAAGGACATGGCATGGACTTGATGGACGATGTTGATGAAATCCACCAACTTGAACACTTCATAAGGCATAAAAAGTGTAATCTTGCCGTTTCTCTTTATACCAGGAAACATACATACATACAAATATATATATGCATATATATATATATATATATATATATATTATATATATATATATATATATATATATATATATATATATATACACATACATGTATATGTATATTGATATATATGTGCATATATATGTGTGTGTGTGTGTTTGTGTGTTTGTGTGTCTGTATTCGTGTGTGTGATATTTACAGACTTACATCAGCATGTGAAGTATTTCACCATACGCATTTTCCCTTTCAAGTACACACAGATAAACAAACGTATGATATAACTCACATACATACGCCTTTCCCTTTAAAATGCTGCTCATCCTACGATTTTTTCCATCCTTTTCCTAACAGCATACTCACGGCCGAGTGCAGCGCCCAAGAAGAAACTCCTGAAGGAACGAATAGAGGGCCTCTGCCGCTCCCTCCGTCGTCCCCGCCAGCCCTGTCTCCGAAGCCTCGACCCCTCGCCCCTCCTGCAGAGTACAAACCTGCAGCCACGTTCGGGATGGAGGGATGGATGACGATGGATGACCTGAGGGCTAAGGTGAGAGGGGGGTTCACCGCGTGTTGGTTGTAGTTACTATTGTTGTCATTATGTGTTATTATTATTTGTATATTATGTTCATCGTCGTAATTATTGTTATCTTATTTCTCATAATATTCAGCCTCTTGTTTTTTTGTTTTTTTTTCTTGTTTTTTTTTGCCGTACTCGTATAAACAAACGCTACAGATGTGTCGTTTTTTTATTTTCTCAACAGGCGGAAGAAGATCGCCTCAGAAAGCACAAAGAGAACATCCCCGAAGATACCACACAGCTTAGCATGGACGCAGAAACCAGCGCGAGTTACGCACATTTCCTCAAGAACCACCGTCTGACGGGATCCATTCTCTGCACTGCCAAGCACTCTTCGACTTCCCCTACGCCCTCTCCTTCGACTCACCTTACCACGACAACTTCCCCTGTCTCGACGACCTTCCCTGCCTCGATGACCTTCCCTGCCTCGACGACCTTCCCTGCGTCGACGACCTTCCTTGCGTCGACGACCTTCCCTGCCACGACGACTTCTCCTTTTTCGACGACTTCTCCTACCACCACGACCTCCCTTACGAATGACACTTCTGCCAGTTCCTCCATTCTGGACGTCCCTGCTACGCATCCCTCTTCCTCCTTCCTTCCATCCTTTACATCGAACTCCTCCTTCCTACTCTCCTTCGCGACCCAAGACGACCTAGAAGTCCCTCCTCCGGCCTCGTCCCCGCGTGCGATGTCAGACACTTCAGAAGACTTGGAATCCTCAGGCTTCCCTTTTCCCTCTTCGTCCAGTGACACAGCCCCTTCGACCTCCTCCCCAGCCGCGTCTCTTGCGCCTCCTATCCTGTCCATCTTCTCTACACTCTCTACATTCGCCAATTCCTCCACCTTGACTACTCCATCCATGCATCGACCTGGTCTGTCCACGCTTCCAAGCCCGTCTATATCTACATTGTCCGATCTACCGTCTACTCCTCCTGCATACTCCACTAAGTATTCTTTGTTTAACTCTTCTACTCTGTCTACACCAAATGCGCAACAAGCTTCTTTTGATCGATATGTGCATCCTACTTCATCCACTCTTCCCGTAGCCTCCACTCAACCTACTCTTTCAACATCTTCCACTTCCTCCACCCAGTCCACGCTCTCACCCCCATCAGCCTCACCCACATTGCCCGTTTCATCCACATCGTCTACAACCTCCACCCCATCCACACTCACCAATCCATCCACCTTATCCACTCCACCCACCCCCGCCACATCCTCCACTGCTTCCAGCGCACCCACAGCTTCCACACACACACTTCCTACCTCCTCCACTCTTTCCACCTCATCCCTCGCTGCAGCTGCCACCTCCCCTCCTTCGTCAGCGCCGCGTGATATCCGCCCAGCGCCCCCGACCCTCCTGCAGAGGCCACCGGCAGCCCGCAGCGAAAGGCGGGAGAGGAGGTTCGCAACTATGCTCAGGAGTCCCCCGGCCTGGCACTCGGAGCCGGGATGCTGGCACTGAACGGCGTGGCACTGGCTGCCGGTACGTCACTCGGTTGTTCTTGGTCTTGTGTAATGTAATGTTTGATTCAACCAATGCTAACCCGGTGTACTAGTTGGCAATTATTAAAGCAAAGAAAATAAATGTGTCAGTGTATTTAAATATGTGTGTGAATGGTTTGTATTCATGAGAGAAAAAAAGTATATGTGAGAGAATGTGTGTGTGTTGCGTGTGTATGTGTGTGTGTGTGTTGTGTGTATATATGTGTGTATGTGTGTTTGTGTAAGTATATATGTATATATACCTATGCATGTATATATATATATATATATATATATATATATATATATATATATATATATATATATGTATGTATATTTCATTGCATTTGTTTCCTCCCATAGGATCCCCAATCAGTCCAGCGGAAGAGC